ACCTTTCTTACATTTTACATTTTGAACTAAATTATACTGTGAGAATAACAGAAGATGGAGATCATGTTCAAGAAAATGTTACAATTGTCAACTAAGGGTGATTCTGATAAAATTAAAATCTGAAATTTGTTAAATTTACTGAAATGAGCATATTCTATATTAAGTGATAAGTAAACAGTTTATCACTTATTGTTTTGAGTAAATTTTGTCTAAGCAATTTAAAGCCACTTCATTAGTGAACACGTTTTGTTTTTTATTATCAAACACGTCCGAACATGTTAAAATTTGAACTCATTAAATGCTAAATTGGATTATTAAACAAGACCTAAGACTTCATTTAGGTTTCCTTGCCCCTGTTTAAAACAGATTAATTCCGATTCATTTCTTTCAAAATAGAAATTCATTTCGGGAATTTTTCTTTTGCATAATGTCAACTTAAAAAGATTATCTCTAAGTATTTCAAGTACCATGAAGCGGCAATCCCACGCAAGCTTTTGCTTTCAAATTCTTTTAAGCACAAACATTTTGCTTTCATTTCTTGAAACAGAGCTTATGAAGTCAATTATTTAGGAAACTCAAAAAGCTAAAGTAAATTAATCTTGGTATAGCCAAATGTTATCTTAGAGAGCTTCAGCAATTACTAATTAGTTGATATACTTCACCACTGTCATAATATTATTTAGGAAATTTTGTGATACCTTTAGAGTATCATTTTCTTAACTTTTATTAGGTAATTGCTTGAATTTTAAATATTTAAATTTTTTTTTATAATCTAAGGGTGAATGATGCTTTTTCATTATCCAACCATAAATTTAATTTGGAAGGTATGATACCTAAAAGAGATCGTAGAATCGCCCCATGTTATTGTTCAACGAGTTCTTTCTCGTTGAGATTGTAGTCAGTTAAACATTTATTTATGAGAAAAATCTATTTCTATTACTAGAATGAAAAGAATTGAAGGAAACGAATCATCCTGTTCATCATGTCAACGGTTGGTAGGATACTTGTTATGCTAGAATAGTCAAATTGTCACTCACAAAAAGATTAAAGAGAAAAAGAATCTACAAAGTATATAAGTTTACGGGTTTCATTTTTAGCGAATTCACTTTTGCATGTGCTTGAAAACTTAAACGCGTGCATTGTGGATTGATCAGCTTCAAAGCCAGCATGTAATTTTAGACAACTGCACCCTACAAAGTTGTATTTGGTAAAATTATTCAGTAAGTTTTATGAATATCATTGCAGCATAAGTTTTTGTTCTCGTTCAAAAAATCCTAATTTCTCCAAATTGGAACTATGGCCTAACTGTAAACTTAGCCTTCAATCCTCGTTTTATGCCATCTGATGTTAATCTTTGAAGCTTTGTACAACAAAGGTAGATTTTTGCATGTCAACTGGCAAGATAGCTGATATTTAACTGTCATAAATCATTAACGTTAGGGGCCTTAGTCCTGAACCATATACATCTCTATTGGTGACCATGAAGATGAATTATATATTTCTCTTCTTTTTTTTTTTCCCTTTCCCTTTTGTGCTTGGAAACTATTTTCGTGGAAGACTGGCGGCCCTGAGAAAATGGCAAGAGGAATTTGTGCCCGAGTTAAGAGAGCTGTCTTTTGCCGGCCAGAGGTAATAGATCGTAATCCTGTTTTTAACACATTTTTTGTTGATCTTGTTATTCCGGTGAGCATTTGGTGACATATTTACATGAATTAGCAGATTGTTGGTTCGAGGCTATATGCTACCATTGACTTAGAAAGGGCTCGAGTTGGACGAACCAGAATGATAGAAAAACAGCTTTCCAATCCTCGTTGGTACGAAGGCTTTCGAATATATTGTGCCCATATGGTCTCCAATGTCATTTTCACTGTAAAAGATGACAATGCTGTTGGAGCAACACTAATTGGAAGAGCTTATTTGCCCGTCGAGGAGATCATAAATGGATTCATAGTTGACAGATGGCTCCAGATTTTGGATGAAGATGGCATCCCAATACAAGGTGGACCAAAAATTCATGTGAAGCTGCAATTTTTCAGCGTAAATCAGGATCCCAATTGGTCTCAAGGAATCGGAGGTAGTCTAGCATTTAAAGGGGTTCCCCGTACTTTCTTCAAGGAAAGACAAGGTTGCCATGTTACCCTCTACCAGGATGCTCATATGCCCGACACTGGTTTTTCGAATTACCTCGAATCCAATTTAAGATACGAGCTTCAGAGGTGTTGGGAGGATATATTTGATGCCATCAACAATGCAAAACACTTGATTTATATGACAGGATGGTCTGTTTATACTCAGATCACCTTGATAAGGGATCCAAATAGGCCTAAGCCAGGGGGAGATATTACTCTTGGCGAGCTGCTAAAGAAGAAGGCAAATGAAGGTGTGAGGGTCCTGTTGCTTGTTTGGGATGACAGAACTTCAGTTGAGACTCTTAAGAGGGATGGTCTGATGGCAACACATGATCAAGAAACGGGTGATTTCTTTCGTGACACGAATGTTCATTGTGTTCTCTGTCCTAGAAATCCTGATGATGGGAACAGCATAATCCAGGGATTTGAGGTTTCCACCATGTTCACCCATCACCAAAAGACAGTAATAGTGGACTCTGAAATTCCAGAATCGGGGGGCGAGCCGAAGAGGAGAATTGTGAGTTTTCTTGGCGGAATTGATCTCTGTGACGGGAGATATGATACGGTAGCTCATCCCTTGTTCAGCTCTCTAAATACTGCCCATCATGATGATTTTCATCAACCCAATTTTCCAGACTCCAATATCAGGAAAGGTGGCCCCAGGGAGCCATGGCATGACGTTCACTGCAAGCTGGAAGGACCTGCAGCATGGGATGTACTGTACAATTTCGAACAGCGATGGCAGAGGCAAGTCGGAAACAACTATATGTTCTCCCTTAATGAGCTTTATAGATTTGCCATCCCCCCATCACCAGCGACCAAGTCGGAAGATCACGAAACATGGAATGTTCAAGTTTTTCGCTCGATTGATGGTGGTGCTGCTTATGGCTTCCCTGAAGATCCTGCGAAGGCCGCTCAAGTAGGACTTGTTAGTGGGAAGGACCACATTATAGACAGAAGCATTCAGGATGCTTACATTAATGCTATCCGTCGCGCAAAGAATTTCATTTACATCGAAAATCAGTACTTCTTGGGAAGCTCTTATGGCTGGGAAGGGAAAGATATACAGGTTCCGGACATCAACGCATTGCATCTCATTCCCAAAGAGCTCTCACTGAAGATCGTGAGCAAGATAGAAGCAGGGGAGAAATTCACAGTCTACGTTGTAATTCCAATGTGGCCAGAAGGGATTCCAGAGAGTGCATCTGTCCAGGCGATACTAGATTGGCAAAGGAGGACAATGGAGATGATGTATAAAGATATTGCTCGAGCACTCCAAGCTAAGGGTGAGGGGGATGATGTAGACCTTAGAGACTACCTAACGTTCTTCTGCCTTGGCAATCGGGAGTCCCGAGAGGCTGGAGAATATGTGCCTCCAGAAACCCCCAATCCTGACACTGATTATGCCAGAGCTCAAAAATCTAGGCGCTTCATGATCTATGTTCATGCCAAAACCATGATAGGTAATTGAAGCAAATTCACTCAGTTGGCACACACGTCCTTTTTCTTACTTCCAACTTTTGACTGGAATGTTCATAGTGCTTGTTTTCGTTGGATTTCTTCCGGTTCTCATTTGGGATAAATCTCCAACAGTGGATGATGAATACATAATCGTGGGGTCTGCAAACATCAATCAGAGGTCGATGGATGGAGCAAGAGATACAGAGATTGCAATGGGAGGGTATCAGCCTCATCATCTTTCAAGTGCAGAACCAGCAAAGGGCAGCATATTTCGATTCAGAATGGCCCTGTGGTTGGAACATCTTGATGTACATGATTACGTGTTTTATCATCCAGGGACATTGGAATGTGTCAGGAAAGTGAATTTACTTGCAGAGAGAAATTGGGAGCTCTACTCGAGTGATACATTTCCTGATAATGAGGACCTCTCGGTCCAGCTTCTTAGGTATCCTGTGAATGTTTCAAGGGATGGAATCATTACTGCACTACCAGGACTTGATTTCTTTCCTGACACCAAAGCCCGTGTTCTTGGGACAAAATCTGATTACCTTCCTCCAATCCTTACCACTTGATGTTCTTATTCCTAGCATGCATCTAACTCTTGGCTGTAAATATTCGAACTAATCATACTTGATGTGTTACTGATAAAAATAACTGTAAATAGCCCATGATTAAAGCTGCTTGCTCTTGTGCCAATGCTACTACTGATACATACCAAATTAGCTGTGAATAATTAGTTATGAGATCCATCGAATTCTTATTCTTCTTTTTTTTCTTTTTAAAGACCAATTGATATGCAAATCTTTCTCGCCAACGTTCGATTCTTGATAAATTTCTTAAAGTTCTTGAAAATCCCCAACCAGCACAAGGAGTTCTAAGGTACGTGGGACGCCTTGCACTGGTCAGTCAGCAAAGCCAAGAATAGCCCCCCGTAGGTAAAATAAGATAAATTTTTGAGTATTAGCCATAAGATTTCTGCTCCTGATGTTCTCAGAATACAGTCCAGGAATGGATTTAGCAATTAACCTGGATGAACAAATGTATAACACCCATGCCAAGCAACAACACCAGAAGAAGAAAGAGCCTTGGCACAATACACATCTTTCACCCATTCCAAAGAATCCGCATTGGATCTAGTTTACCGCCAATCATGCTCCCAAGTAAGTTCTTGGCCGGTTTACTGTCTCCATTTTTTCCTTCCTCCTAATTTTCCACTACAAACTTCTGCCCTATTAGTCTCCAGACTCTCCATGACTAGACATTAAACAACTCCAGGGACAAAGCTACAGTCCATTTTTTTCCCCCTTCTCTCCTCCTTACTTATAATTCATTCCACCTCAGCCATGCACATTAACGCACAAATTTATCCCACCATAACAAGCAACACCGTGTGACAGGCAAAACCATGACTGGGAGGAACAAAAGAACATTGAAGAAAGAGGAAATGAATCCAGTCTATTATGGCCCGTGCTGCAAATGAAGATTACAGCCTTCTCCCAAAACTGTTTGCAGTCAACCGAAACATAAACATGCATTAGAAGCCACCAGTTAAGGTTTTAGTGCATGTCATCCAAACAAACTATTCCAAAAAGTGAAATGAGCCTCATATCAACATTTAACCTCTGATTCCTACAATCCAACTTCTTACACATGCCGAAGAAAACCGTGTGGATCATACTTCTATATCTCCTCAAGGCGGCGCAAAACTGATTCTGCAAAGCCTTGTTGCCTGCAATTGACAGAATGCATGATAAGATGAGAAGAACAAAACTTGTGCTCAGAAACAACAAATTGACTCACAAAGGTCAACTAGAGAATTTATCGCACCATCTTCTTAGTCAAAGCAGTTCTGGAGACAGTATTTTAAGAAACCAATAACACAACTGAGTAACTTACTTTCGCTCACGGTGCTTAGGGCTAGGACGAGAATATTTCAAATATCCATCCCATGGGACCTTTTTAAGGCCTGCTCGAACAGAAATAATGTCCCTCACCCTGCCAATGGAAATTGGGCTCATAAGGAAGCCTGTTACTATCAAAAGGATAGCTCCAACATAGTAATACTATGTGCCTCCAGTAAAACACAACAGCAAACCAAATCAGCAATGTTGTTTAACCATCACTATTCAAGGAAACCACCTACCTTTCCGCAAATTCAATAGGTGTTTCTCCAGGTTTCAGATTTTGGGGCTCCAGGTACCATACATCACAAACAACAGCCCATGATGTCATTAGCTGCAACAGATGCATTGTGAAGGATTGCCTGACAACAAGAAACATGCTACTAAAGTAAGGCAAAGTGATTTTCAGTTCACGACTAGGCAGATGTTTATGCAGTTTAAATACATGATCACTGCTTAATAATCTAAAGAGAAGTGCTATACAGAAAGCATTGCAGTAGGAAAGCAGAATCTCATTCAACATCAACAGTAATATGGAAAGCCGAGGTTGAGACAGGATACAAAAATCTTACTTTCTACTATTCCAAAAGGCATCAACAAATACTTTGTTGTACTTAATTGCAACTGGGCAAACAGTGCAGCCAAGTTCAAAAGCACCCTAACCATCAGAAAAGAGATTATATAAGCATCAACTTAGTTAACTAGAAGAACTTGTTGAAATGTGGTTAAGATTCACTAAAAAACAGGAAAAAGATGGCGAATTCAGGAGGGAAAAAAGAGAAAAATACAAGAAGTTCCAAGCCTTTCCAGAACTGAAATCTCAAAAGATCATTGCTAAGCTGACATAGAAGCAGGACCCAACAGCTGCAGAACCCCTCCCCCAAAAAAAAAAAAAAAATCTTTTTAGCTACTGACCAAGGAGAATTTCAGTTTGACTACGGTTGTCAAAAGGATCAATGAGAGAAACGTAAAAATATGTTTTCAGCGCTTTCCAAGTTTAAATATCTTCAGCAGATACAACTGTTATACATAGACAACAATTACCTTCTTGAACATAACAGTGTAATGATTATTTACACATGTTCCTTCAGGAAATATAAGAAGAGGATTGTTGTCTGCCCCCTCAATATGTTCTCTTAGCCTGAAAATCCAGAATTGAAGCTACAATAGCTAATCCGAAAAGAGGAGGCAGAATAGTCTTTTCAGTAATATATACCTTCTCGCAACGATTTCACGGTCCTTAGCCTCAGAACGATTGAACCAGATAGATCCAACACTTTCCAAAATAGTGCTTTGCAATAACCCTGCAAATATATCATATATTCTAAAACTACTTGATACCACCCAACCCTAGATACTGGAGAATAACATAAATTTAGTTTCTGTGATTTTTTTCCCCTCAATCATCTTCCACTGCTGCAAAAGACAACCTTTGTATCACTAAATTTTACAAGCATATTCAAACTAAAAGGTAGCATCTCCTGAAGAAAAGAAGGTACATCTCCATTCATTAATTTTAGATCGGCCACTGTTTCCAGGCCCATTAGTTTAAATATGTTTGAAGCAGGAGCAAAAATGCTTGCAAGCATGCAAGCAAACTGAAATACAGGACAGCACACAGCAAGCCAACCCATGATGCCCAGAAATGGCCTGAATCAGGACAATGGCAAAATTGTTTCATTTCGATTCTTTTGCTCAAGGGACACAAAAACATATTACTGTTTGCTCCATTCTGACACATCCTACAACATTTTTCTCTCACCAAAGGTGAAAAACAGGTAAACTCCAAAGCCAAAAATCATTATCTTACAAATACAAACTGTTTTGACCTCGAATATGTGCAAGGAACTATCGCACACCTTTCTTACTCAAGACATCAGTTCCAGCTCAACATTCATTTTGAAAACTAGATACCTAACAATATTTGTAAAAGCTTTTGAACTCAATAATTACTTGTAAATAAAGAAAGATTTTGAAAAAGGTCTGTCCATAAAATCAGTAAAACTGAACATGAAATTTGGGATTATCACAAGTTACCATAAAGACTTCTCAATTTTTATGGACAGGTGTGTTCCATGCAAAGGAAATAAATCTCAGGGCTAAGAATATTGTAAAAGCTCTCCAACAGCAGTGTGAAGATCACAAACCAATTAAAGACACTTACCAACCCACCCTGGATGCTTCTGCATAATTACAGCAAATGCAGTCATCTGCTCCAGAATAATGAAATCAATCATTGACGTATGATTTGCCACAAATACCTGTTCCAACCATTTAAATGATCTTCAGTGCAAATTCTGTTGGGAAAATAGGTTTCATTTGGACTATAGCAGGAAGTACTCCAATGCATCTAACGAATCAACACCATACTTGCTTAGGCCGGATGCTGGGACGTGGACCATGATACTTGACAACCCCAGTCCATGATGCCACAAAGAAACTGCAAATCAATTCCACAAGACACCTCTTGGAAAATTTAAGAGGGAAAACCCAAAAAAAACAAAAAAAGTGAGAAGCCACACATAAAATATTTATCTTCCTCTACAAGAGCAAACAAAGAGGAGACCTGCATGCTATCATCAGAGTGTTGCTAATAACACCAATATATTCAAGTTTCCTAAGTTCACAGGTGCTGTGCAGACACTCTAAACCAAATTAAACAATTCAAGTTAGGCTTGCACAATTTTGTAAGTCTACATTAAAAGTGAGAAAATAGAACAACTACAAAAAAAAATAAAATAAAATAAAAAAATTGCTCACTTTTACCAGACCATATAACAGAGAGAAAGCTGCATGAAAAGATCTGAAAGAGTATAAAGTAATCCTACCTCTAGTTTTTTCCTCAACTTGTCATGCCCTTTCAATAGAAAATGCACCGGAATATAGCAAGAGAGAAATATTATCCATCCTACCGTCAATACGATAACCCTGCGATGAAATTAAGAAGCATTAAAAGGTCAAGGAACATCTCCAGCGATAATGTCTAAAAACTAACTCGTTCTCAAAATCCCATTGCCTAAGCACTGGAAAATCATGAATTCCAATAGCTAAATAATATATTGAAGCTCATTAAAATGGCATCGACCAGGTAAAACTCCATTTGACTGTACGAGAGGATTAATGAGCTCAGCATACAGCTGGCACTTTCAAAGGAGTAAATGGTAGCTTAACTCATCTTGTACCACCACCACCCCCAACCTTCAAAAGTATCACCCCAGTTGCACTGGAACCTCTTTGTCAGGGAGAAAAAATGCAAAGAATGAAATAGTTTTACCACATGCATGGACGTTGCTCTCTTGAATTTAAGCAGGGGAAGTAAAAGTTGGCTAAAACATGATGAAAACATATCTAGTACTACAAACATGGTGAAACTATTTGTTTCTTCAAGCTGGATTGGCTCCTACTGATCAACTATCACAGCACATACTTAAGCAATAAATTCTGCAAGGTGAACAAGCAAGATTAAACCCTCCAACTTAGTATAATAGCACTGCAAAACAAGGGGCAGATCTTCTGGGAAACTTCTATTAGTTACTTGCACATTCCATGTTTGTCCCTCTTTTTGGCTTGACAGGGAAAAGTCAAACAAGCCCCAAAAAGAAAAAGTAAAAACTAACCTTAATGGGAAAAGAACTAAGTATCTAACAAGGACACCCATGCACCATAAAGGAAAGAGATATATATTCCAGTTCCATGGTTCTGGAGGAATTGACTTGAAACATCGTGTGAAGGAATCCTGTGATACACAAAGAATTGGCCAATAAATGATATTGATATTGAATAAGGTCGACCCTGGTAATAATGAAAGAACACATTTTGTGAACATCAAAAAAATTCAATGGAATATTGGGGAACAATTTACATGTGATAATTTTGTGCATAATGTTAGTTTGGTGTGATACAATATCACAAGAGTCCATTAAATAGTGTGATGATCTAAATTCTGGAAGAGAAGCTTGTTAAGTGCATGGCTAGTTGATTAACCACAATTGTGTCCCCCAACTTGAGTTTTGAAAACAGCAGAAGTGAAACCAAAACTTTCAAGTGCTCAGAAAAAAAGCGAGCGAGAGTTTCCGCAAGGATAAGGATTGGTATCCTATAACTGTGACTCTAGTGAAAATGTGGCCAACCTGGTTTCAGAACAAAAAGGCAAGGACCAAAAAAAGAACAGCAACAAATGCCATTATTTATTTTAACAATATAGTACTACTTAGAGAGAGAATAACAAATTTAGAATGGCATCGGTGAGAGAAGAAATACAAGCAAAAAAAATGGGGATAAAAGTAAAGAATAAAAATGAAGATTGAGGAGAAAGGAGTTTACATCAACAATGGCACCAGCAGCCTCAGTGAGGGTAGGTGATATATCGAGCAAATCACGCCTGCAAAAAAAAAAAAAAATGCAAAGTCCAGTTTAGAATTCTCAACGGCAACCTTACCTAGTACAAAGCTGTTTTATAGTATATAAAAAATGAAAACAGGGAAAGAGAAGAAATAAGTAGGAGAATACAGGCAAAGTTTGCCGTGAGGTTCCTGGATGGATCCAGAGGGCAGATAGTCTTCGATATTTGGTCGATCCAAATCCAATTCAGAGCTCGACGATTTCAGTTTACTCATCTCTCCTCTCTCTATTGCGCTTCTTCTTCCCCAAGTGAACAACTTTCTCCCCAAGTGAACAACTTTCTTCTTCCCCAAGTGAACAACTTTCTCCCTCAGATATTTTTCTAAAACGCAAATCCACTAAGCTGCTAATGCCCTACCCAAACAATATAGAGCTCACATTAATTAAATGTTGAGGTTCACATCGGCTAGATTTTACAGCAACCAATCAAAGATGTAATGACACCATTATTCCAAACCCAGGAGAGATATTCCTCACAAAGAAAAAAAAGCAAAAACAGCAAAACAGAGCACAGAAATCCTTATGTCATGTGTAATAATTAATATATAAAATCCAATATAGAAATGACAGCACAAACATTAAGAAAGAATCGATACATCATTCAGCTAAACTACTAAAAACAAATGCACAACGCAATTATTTCAGCGCAATTGAAATCAACGAAAATATGAAAAACCCAGAAGCAAAATATGAATAAAGATGAAAATCAGGAGGAAAACATGAGGCGTATGCGTACAGTTTCTGGTCATCGTCAATTTCGAGCTTCTTCCGGCACCCTGTGGTAGGATTCTTGATATTGAACTGCAATCACCAAAACAAAACAAGATATTTGAAAAAAAAAAATTTTGAAGTTGATGACAGAAAAACCATTCCTTTTTAAATTGTTCGTGCCTCAACGAGCACGAGATAAAGACGAAAGATAGAAATTTGGGTTTAGAAGAAGAACGAGAAGACGAAGAACCTATATGGTCGAAGCAAACAAGTCGAAGACCAAGCCTCAAATAAAATCAGCTGCAGCCGCCATTTGTTTTAGGTTGATTTGATCTTTTTACTTTTCAAAAGATTACTACAGCGTACTTTTTTCAGATTTTTTTTCCTTCGATATCATCACGAGTAACTTTCGTGCAATCCAACAGAGTCAAACTTGATTAATGCAATGTTAAAACCCGACTCGAGTTAAAAAATCTAGATTCAAGCTTGAGTTTGAATACATTTAACTCGAGCAATATTCAGTCCAATCAAACTAAAAGATTGAACCAATTCTACGGATTACTGTCTACATTATTTCCAAAAAGAGTTGAAGGGAGTCATTACTGTACCTACCTGGACTTGAATTCTTTCTAACACAAAGCTCGTGTTCTTGGGACAAAATCCGTATATATTCCTCCAATCCTTTCTGCGTGATGATCTTACCCTGAAGATGCATCTAACTCTCGGCTGTAAATATTCTCTTAAGCTGTGCTCATGATAAATGAAGTAACTGTAGAGGGCACATAATCTAATTTAGTATTTAAATTTAATATAAATTCAGACACATTTGATAATTAAAAAATAGGATATCTTGATTTAATTAAATGACACTGAATTATAAATCAAAACTTACTCTAAAAAATATGTGATAAGTTGTTTATCTATCACTCAATCTGATATATATTTAAATATTCCAATATATCAAATTTGGATTAACTGTTTTTCAGGGTGTTTTTAAAAAATTTTACTATAACAGAATTTTTACAGTATATTTTGGAATATTTTTAAAAAATATTTTCAAATATTTAAAAGTAGTAGAATTTTTAAAATAATTTTTTGAATATTAAAAAAATTTAGACTACTTTTTAATGTAGCTTTTAGAGTACTTTTTAAAAATTTTTATAATATTTAAAAAATTAATTTTTGAAAAACTAACGAATCCAAATAAAGCCATACTTCACAATTTAATAAGTTTAAATTTAAGATTTTATTTTTAAAACCTTAATTTTATCAAATGTACCGTAAATTAGGCACAGTAGCTCCGCATTGCGAGTGGATGGTTACTTAACAGTTGGGCCAAGGCGTAACCAAATTGCCTGCGGATGGATAGTTCGTAACCAAATTACTTAACAGTTCGTAATGAGTCTCTTAGTGTAGCCAACTGTTACGGTCCAGCTACGTATGCTTATGGGTCAGCTCCTTTTACTCTTAAAACCCAACCCAAAACTCTCAAACTTACGTTCCTCGTTATTCGATTTAAAGCCCTCATTGAACCCAAAAAAAGTCCACCCATTTTTTGGGGGGGGGGGGCCCCGGGGGGGAAGAAATCCACAACTTTTTGTTACAGAAGTGGGTGAAATCTGCCATGGCTACAGGACACAAAAATCCAGAAACGCATAAAGCTAAAGGACGGGATCAATTATTTTGGTTCTCGTTGTATATTTTAAGATCTACACCAAAAGAAAAATGGGGACCTTAGGCCCAGTTTGCTAAAAAAAATTAGGTGGAGCCGTATTTTAAAGTCAAAGTGCAGGCCATGATTATTGCTTATTGGGATTAAGTTGTCTCGTCCCACCTCCACTGTTTGAATTAATTGATATTTTTGAAATATTTTACTGTAACAATGTATATATATGAAAAATTTTTATTATAGATATTTTTTGAAATATTTAAAATATTATATGAGATGAAATTTTTTTAAAATTATTTTTATTTATGTATTACTGTAATATTATATTTAAAAATTTTACTCTTAATCTAAAAATTTTTAAAATTTTTTTTTTACAGGTATATCAATCAGAACTACTAAGTTAAGCACGCACTAACAAATGTAATAAATTATCCATTCAATTGTTATGAAAATATGTATAAGAATAAAAGATTATAGGTTTAAATTTTCTTTTTCTCCTTTTCAGCTTCTTATATCTCTTCCTTTTTATTTTAAAAAAAAAAAAGAAAAATTTATTATTATTAGTATTTTCCATCATAACTTACTTTTTTTAAGGACCCTTGTAAATTAATTTTAAAGTAATAAGAAAAGAAGAAACCAACTGGTTTTTACCACATAATTATAAAGTTACCAAACACAAGATAACTTTGAGATTCAAAACACAAAAACCAAAAAAAGAAAGAAAAAAACCCAAGAAAATTTTCACCAAAATGTGAAATAAACCCATGACCGATGACGCACCCGAGGGGCAATGCAGTCCTTTTCACTCAGCACGAGTGGCCGTAGCTCAATCCACCACTACCACCAGCAGCCATCCCAACCGACTTCCTCACCTTCCTTTGCCATTTTCTCCCCATTTCACACTTCCCCAATTCCAATCCGCTCTGCTTTCCCTGCTTTCTCTCTTTCTTGCTTCCCCTATCATTCTTCCTTCAATAGCCGCTTCAACACTAACATTAGTACTAAATAGCAAAATACCCATCACCTATCCTTGCAGGGATTTTGTCCCTCTCTTTGATGGTTATTCTGGGAGCAGTGTTTTCCTCTCTCAATCTGCTGAATGCAACTGTGTAGATTACTATTGCCCTTGCCCTCCTGGATCTATAATATCTTTGCATGCATGGGGTCAGTATTTTCGTTTCCAATCTTTGCTTCAACTGCCAGTATGGTACTACTCTATGATTTGTGTTTTTGAGTTTATCACCATCTCTCATCCTGTTTGCCTAGTAAAAACCAGTGCAGCCAACTTAAGGTACAACAAGCAAAGCAAAGAGTATAACTCACTTTTTTCCCTTTTCTCTTCCATTCGATTTTCATTTGTCTACCTTGGCTATTCTGGGTTTGTCCTAGAAATTCGTTGTGTACGCGGACGACACTCTGTTAAAAGGAATCATGGGTTGAAACTTAAAGGTACAATCAGAAAGGCATAAAGTACAACTCTTTCATATTACCTTTCCCTACCTTTCATCTTTGAATTTTATACTCCAATAATTCTGGGTCTTTGGTGGAAGTTCACTATTTCCGCTGACAAAACTTTTTAGTAAAGGGATATGATGGGGTGGAATTTTGAGCTCTGTTTGTCTTGTTTCAATAAGGGAAAGAAAGAAGGCCAATTTGAGGAATAAAAGTTTTTCTTTTTCTTTTTATTTATTACTATTGTTCTTAGCTTTTCTCTCTGTATAATCAAGAACCTATGTCAGTTAAGACTTTAATTGCGTACCTCTCACTTTTCTTTTATTGTGGGTAGGAATCTTTTTGTTTGCTTTTAGTCTAAGCAAGGCAATAAAGTGTGTGAAGTGAACAGAAAACTTGGGATCTTTTTGTTTGTTTGGCTTTGCTTGTGTACTGCGAAGTTTCGAGTGTTTGTTGTTCACGGTACTATATTTGTTTCCCATACGTATTTCCTATTGCTTTAGCTTTAGGATCAAAGGTTAACGCTAGTGGAAGATTGGTAGAAATGAGTAGTAGATGTTGTTTATGGATTCAATTTGAGGCTTGCCTCAGAAGGAAGCCTCTTTTTTCTTTGTGCTTGTATATTGGAGGTTATTTTCAAGCTCTTACTGGTTTTATGATGGGAAAGCTGAAAGAGAAATGCAGAGCCCTCTTCAGTGTAAGAGATTACTGTGAACTCCATTCTGTGTATCTTTGCTTCTGGATTGGGTTGATATGCTAGAGTTTCTTTGCTCAAATTAAGGATGGTGCTTGTAATTTTTTTTGTTTTACCTGTTATGCTCTATGTTATTGAGGATGCAACTTTTCTTTTGCCTTGCTGTCTTAAAAGAAGCATGAGATGTCCTGTGGTATTCCTCTCATAAGCAATACGGGTTTGCTGCCCAGTAGAAAATGGCTTACTTTCTGCCTGAACTTTTAGCAAAATGTCTGGGGAGGATGTTGCTCTTCTTGGAATAGGTTTCCTTTTCTTTTAGAGAGAGAATCATGCTTCTACAAAATCTTTTCATTTCTTCTGTAGCAAGTGTGATTGGATGATCTTGGCCATGTTTAGATGTCAGAAAAGCTAATTACAATATTTGATTTGAAGTGAGGATATTTTACTGTAGGGGATCTTAAATTACTGTCTGGTTTTTTTTATTGATTCACTGAGGAGTTGTATAACTATTGACAATGATCTGCACTTTGAACTATGGCCTTGGTTAAAAACTTGTGTCGCTTGTGGGAGGTTCCTTTGTCAGTGGTGGTTAAAATTCTTGATTTTCTTAGTGTTGAAGGTTAAGATTGAACGTTGGAATACTTGTAGTATTCTCAGATACAGGTAAAGCGTTCCAGTGAGTCTTCTTCCTACATTGACCATTGCGGAAGTTTGTGTCTTTGGAAAAAGCTGAAACTCTTGTATATGGGATGCGTTGTTATGGTGCATCTTCTGTTATAGATTCAACATTACCTAAGTGAAAATCCCTGTTTATTCTTCTTTGGTTCTTTGATCCTACAAAATGCATGGTATAGAATTCTCAAGCTGGCTAGATATTGTGCATATATATCTATTATAAGGAGGATTTCATGTTTGAGTCAACTTAGTTATAACCTGGAAAATCTGCAACCACAATAATTTCAAAGTTTATTTGCATAGGTTCCAGCTTGATGTGCATGTATGCTCACATAACGCATGAAAATAGAATTCTGCTTGAACTAAGAACCTGCCCTAGATTTTTACAATTTTAAGTACATATGTTTATCTCTATATTTTTTTATGTGTAAACCTATGAAAAAGTACTTACGGTGGTTCGTTAAGCTAAAGTTATTTGAACCTTCCAGAAGATGGTATTGTTAAGTCTTGGAAAAAAGCATTTATCTTCAGGTGTTGGAATTTATAGTGCTTGAGATAGTTTGTATTTTGTATATGTTGTATAGTACTCAAATGTGTGTACTAATCATTTTTTGTGGTTGCAAACCTGATTCCAACAGAGCAGAGGTTGTTTTGGATGTTGTACTAAGCCGCCACATATAATATCTGTGGATGAGCCATCCAAGGGGCTTAAAATTCAAGGTCATCGGGTAAAAAGACCCAGCATAAAAGAGGATTTTTGGAGTAGCAGCACATATGAAATGGAGAATAGTGCATTTCCATCGCAAAGAAGTGTTTCTTCAATTAGCACTTCGAATCTGACTCTTGACCAGCAGGGTACCAGCAGCAGCACTAGCAACCCTACTGAGTTTGTAAATCATGGTGAGTCTTGTCTGGCATAGCCTGATTTTTTAAAATTTAGTTCAATTCTACCCTTTGCATCATTCTTATTTATCATATGCTTGTACATTTGTTTTTGAGCAGGACTTTTTCTTTGGAATCAGACAAGGCAGCTGTGGATTGGAGACAAGGAGTCCAAAAGACCCAAGCAACCTCAAGAGCCCAAATTAGGGTAGGCATCAGGAAAACTACGACAGGAGAAAAGAGCATTTATCTATATTTGGGCCAATTGACTTCACATTTTCAAGATTTACTTTCTTCAGCTTTCCAAGTTTGTAACTATTAGAATCCAACCTCGACAGCATCCCCTCAAATAATACTTTGCGCTCCGCTCCTGTATTATTTCCTAATGCTGAAGGTATCTTTTTTTTTTGGTTCCAGGTGGAATGCAACTTACGAGAGTCTGCTTGGTACCAATAAACCTTTTCCTCAGCCCATCCCTCTACCAGTAAGTCTGTTGCAAAACTGTTTATCATTGGTTATGGATATGAAAGTGCTCCTCTGATTATCCTTGGGTTAAATGAATGACAGGAAGTGGTAGATTTTCTTGTTGATATTTGGGAGCAGGAGGGACTGTACGATTGAGTTGTCATTAGATGAGATACATTTGTCGACTCTCATTATTCCTTTGTTATTGTAACTTGCATGAAATTTTACCAAAGATGTCCAAATGTTTACACCGACATATGGAGCAACCAAGTTGGTGTGCTCTCTGTCCTTGCTGATAGTGATGATTGATGGTATTCAGTCATGCAGCAAATGGTCTTCCTTTGTTATTGTTGCTCCTTGCTGCATCAGGACCTTGTTGCTAGTCAATTATTGGGAACATTCTCCACTAAGTGCCCACGTCTGCTTTGCAAGCTCTCTTTAAGAGGATTTATGCGAAGCAGATTCCTGCTCCACAGCTGTTCAAGAATCCCAAAAGTTTGATCTGGACTACCTTTCCTAATGCTACCGGACAATTAGTTTCCCGGGGTACACTGCACATCTTTTTCCTATTGCAAAATATCTAGCTTCTGATGAAACTACAACAGCTAGATGGTTCAATGCACAAACACAAACAAGTAAAAGGGGTATGGAACCTATCCCTATCTCTTTTTTTTTCCTCCTCAAAAATCAATTCAAACATCAAAAATCTTATCTTTGTATTTCTTTTCCTGTCCTTTTTTTTTTCCTCCTATTCTGTGGCGACAAACGGTGCGTGAGAGTCCGTTTCTTTGTCAAGAATCCAATGCTAGGAATGGAATTGGATCCGGTAATCATGGCACATGAAGAAGGAGAAAGAAATTACTATCTTATACTCTTTAAGTGGGTTTGTTTCTCATAAATTAGTAGGAACATTAGTCAAAGTAATCGTGAAATTTGGGTTTGTTTTTTTGCATTTTTCTCGTAAAGTTTGGAGTCTCTTCTTAAATAAATAAATAAAATTAAAAAATTGGTCTCATATTTTACTTTCTCTTATGTTTCAAAGCCTAGGTGATGAATCAAGGCATCCATTTGATTTTGAGACAACCCATGTAGTGCATATTTATCAGTCAGTCAGCCTGGGTTAGGCCGAATTTAGATCATTTGACCCGAAAACTGTGGTGCCGAGCTTCAGGTGCTTTTGGGTGGGCCTAAATGAAAGATATCATTTGTGAGCGAGTCCAGGTTCCGTTAGGTTCGGACCAACTAAAACTTGACATCTCGAATAAGTATTTGTATAAATGTGTATATTATATATAATAAAATTAATATTTATTTGTCAGATTTAGATGCATGATGACAATATGTCTACAATTCATAATTTATGCCTAATTTTATAACTATATATAAAATATTGTTTTTGGGTCAAGAAAAGTTTCACTATGTACGCAATATTAAATACAAAATAAGTATCAATTTTGGGATTGAACCAAATCTCAAATAGGGTCCTAACTCCTAAACCCCAATATTCTTATGAGCGAGTGTTTGATCCCATAGTTAAAAACTTAGTAACTGCCTTGTTTGGAAAATCATTTGTTTTCAAAAGATTTTCACGTTTTCGTGAGCATATTTTTTAATTATTTCTTCATCAAAACGTACATCAAATTGCTATATAATATGCGTTTCTATAAAATTTTCAGAAAAAAACAGTCCAAAAGGGAGCCCAATCCTGTATGCATGCTCTTAAACTCGGATCAATGGAATCTACGTCATAAAGCCTAATTGACACTCGAGGAACTGTAGGAGTCATTTGGCAGATTTGAATTCATATGTCCATTTGCATAGATATCACCATCTACATCCAAAAAGTCTGTAAAGTCTGTATCCTTTGTAAGAAACTTGTACAGTTTGGGAAAGGGTTTTTGATTGACCAAAAAGAAGAATATACTTTAACCGATATGCCCTCAATTAAGGTCATACATAACGTAAAAATCACACTTTGAAAGGGTGGACAGTTAGCTTGAGTAGCAAGTGATGTAGCGAAACTGATTGCAAAAGAGGATAAATCAACAATTTTAAAATTACCTTCTGGATAGGCCTATTTGATATCCAAAAACTGCTCATCAACAGTTGAACAAGTATGAAATGTTGGGGAGAACCAGAAAAGTTTGGGTAGAGTTGGATGATCTAAGCCTGGTTAGGTAAACGTCTTGTAGTAAGAGAAGTAATTATAAACCCTGTAGACTGAGCGTACACAGTTTAAAACAATCGGGAAGATGGATGTTGCGTGAAAATAAGAAATGGTGTTTCACACTCGGCTGAGAAAGTTGAATGGATTGATTTTTATTTTTTTTTTTGATATGATCGATTCTATACTACAACTGCTCCTATTCTACGCTAGGGGGAGAGGGATCTAAAGAGATCAAGAGGAATTCTGTGAATCACCACCGATTCAAATGGGTGTCTCTGCACAACTGTTGGCGAAATATTTTTTTAAAAAGCCTGAATATTAAAATACAGGACAAAAAATTTGATCAGTTGATCTACGCCTAATAGAGTTTCAAAGCTCTCCTGGATGGATGGATTGATTGATTGATTGATTCTGGAGGTGGAGTATTATCTTCCTACTCACAAAATGTCTGGTCGCATCAATGTGTCTCCTGCCTTACGAGCAGGCCGGAATTTCAACTAGTCCAATTGACTAGAGCACAGCAACGTGTTGCACATCTCGTGATGACCTTTGAACGGATACCGTGTTTCGTCCATTTATACATGCTTATTAATCATTACGTGGCTTAACATTTGTCATTAAGTTCAACACTATTAACAGCTGCCTACCGTAGTTTTTTTTTTTTTTATATCTCATGCATGAAATCAAAATTGTGTTCGTAAATGTAACTTATCTAATATATAGTTTTAGGATTACTATTATATACACAGTCAGTATAAAGATTTTTACACAATCAGGTATAGATATGTGGAATCAAATAATATTAGTTTCGGGGCCCTCAGGGGCTTGGTCTGGTGGTTGAGGTCGCTGAAGATGGAGCCTCAGGTCCCTGGTTCGAACCTTGCTGTCAGCAAGTTACTGAGGGTGGTGAATAGTCTGCGGGGTCCACTCCCTGCGGGACACATCAAAAAAAAAAACAATAATAATATTAGTTTCGGGAGTTTGCTTTTCTCATTTTATTAATTACCATGTAAATTTGAAGTAACTTTCATAAGAAATCAAAAATATATTTTAGCCTGCTCATTAATTTGATAAGATTTTCTGTGATTTTTTTTTTATATATAAATATGACTGGAAACATGAAGAGGTGATTGAAAAAATGTATTTATGATGTAAGAATAAATATTTATCCAAATAAATAGCGCGACCAAATGCAGCATTAAAATTTATTTAAAAAAAGTTCATTGAATAATTTAAAGAAAACATGTTGCGTAAGTATTCAACAATCAAGATGACGTAATGCAAAAAAAAAAAAAAAAGAAAAGAAAAGAATAGAATCAAGATAACGGGATAAGCTCAGGTTCCTATTACCATGTAGTGTGCGCCTTGCTTTACTGTAAAAAAAAAAAAGAAGAAGAAGATGGAAGGATCCTATTCCCTTGTGCGTTGTCACAGATAAAAGGTAGCAGCCTCATGATTTTCCAGGTGTTCAGTATCAACCTGCTGGAATATTTCCGGCATTAAAAAAAAAAAAAAAAGAAATTCGTCAAAACCATGTCCTTTTTCTACTGTTTTGTAACTAAATAAAGTCCAGCTGCCTACTTTGAATCTTTGCTTTATTCAAAGTGTTTTTTCGTATGATAAAATCGTGAGTTGAGTAAACTTGACCTATCGTTTTCTGGAATAAAATCGCTTTTTTGGTTGCTGGAGTCTTTTCGAGTCAATAATATGCACCTAAACCACATTTCATCTAAGGTTAATGACCCTTTGCCCGCCGGAAAGTAGGGTCAATGAAAATAATGAAAAAGTAGAGTTAATTTTATATACACTGATAGTGTTTATGCTTTTACGGTAAGAAGTATAACACATAAATAAAATTAGGCTTTTAAATTTAAATTCAGATAAATTATCATGAGCATTCAATAGAGATAGTGTATATATTGTCATGTATAGAAGATTAATCCAAATTTATAAAGAACATTTATTAAGAAAAATTTTTAAAAAAATACGTTGACAATTTTACTCTTATGGTATTGATAAACAATAATGTATCCTCATGCTTTTGATAAATAACGGTGATCTATAAAGGATATTTATTGAGGAATAAGAGCCATATGTAGCACTAAAGGATTTCTTAAAAAAGAGCTCGTATTTTTGGATGTTCAAGCTTCGAAAAAAAATTGAAAAATTGATAAAATTGATTGATATCTAAATTTTAAAATTTGGTAAAACAATTTCAAGATACATATTCAAATTCGATTACTAAATTTCTTATCATTAACATTTGGTAAAACAGCTTGAGAATGGATATTAAAATTAGATTTACCGATTCCCGATTACCAACCAAATTGTCGAATTTTATATGTTAACATATATTATATATGTTACCTACTAATACATAGTGTCATGGATTAATCTATTACACAAATGGTCTTATAACTTACTTATGCTTCCGTAGGATCAATTTGACTAAAGATAAAATTACAATATAAGGGTAATATCGTCAATAGATATTTTTTTGCTTTTCCAAATGGAATACTTGATATAAACACCAAATGAAATATTTTCGAGTGGATAAACTGCCTGTTACTTTCATTGTTGAGGGGGATAAAGTGCTGTTACTCCCACTTTCAAGGGGGCGCGTGTTACTCAGTTTTTCATAAATGATCCACCATCCGAGTATGTTTTAGTAAAAGTTTATCGTAACGAAGTGTAGAAATGTCACCACAAAAAAGTGGAAAACTAGTGGTATTCCCTAGTTTCTCTCTCGTCCATTTGCAATTACTTTTCAACAGAGATGTCAAAGTCTCGATGTCCCGTTCCCACAACGTAGCAATCAAAGAGGAATCCATGCCAAAATTTCCTAAATCAGATTAGAAATTGGCGAGCGACAAGGTGACAATTGCATATATGGTGGGGAAATTCGGCCTTATAAGCATGGTTCAAAATCGCGGACGCGGTCCGAACCGTTCCACATTAGTTTTGACATATTGATTCCGATTCTAGTGAGACGCAAATTTTGAATCATTTAATATTTTGAAAATTGTGAATAGTACAAAAAAAATTATGCTAAATGAAAATAATAAAAAATTAGCCAAAGAAACAAAATATGCTAAGCTCGGGATGATTCGGAATAATTCAATGTGATTTAACCATTTTTATCTGAGTCGAAAAATTTTCAATCGAGTTCTCGGTGATTCGGTGAAGTTCTCGACGATCTATGAATGTTGAAGTCATGTTATCTTGATATTGAAACGGAAAGCATCATTTCAGTGATGACGGCTCGGTCAAGTCTAAGAACCATGCTTATAGGTCAAGTTACGGTACTTGCACTTGACTTTATTTTTTAGGCCAAAAAAAAGGTCATAGCAGACAACAGAAGTATGATAAAGAATTTATGACTCAATCCTGCAATCGAAGACAAAAATAGGCGAATCCTGTCCTATAAAGCATAAATTGATTTGCGAAATTTCTCATATAAAATCATGTAGTCTATTTATTTGCAGAATTTTGGGTACAAAAACCTCCGGTGCCAGTTAGTTCTACTGTAGAGATGGTTCACAAAACTTGT